ATTCCTGCTCTGAGTTTGAGACGAGGAAGGTCTTTTCTCAATGGTTTGCCCCGATATCGTGCTCAAGGAGGATCCTTTAATCTCCTTCGGGCTATTCGTACTTCTCACCGTAGCAGATATTGTGGAGGGAGTAACAGTTAGCTGGGCAGTAGCTACTCGAGTGTTGGTATTACTGCTAGGACTTGCAGACTCTTTAACAGAAGGGACACAATTTTCTCTAGCAGGCTTGAGAACCAGTAGCTTCTTTGATGTGTCGGCCTTGGTCTGCCCACTGAGATTAGACTGGAACGTATTGAGCAGTGCAGTGGGCTGTTGTTGGGCATTCCTTGAAGCAGCAGGACCGATTTCACCAGCTCGAACCACTTGTTTAGTCTTGGATTTATCAGAAGAATTCAGAATCTGAGAGATAAACCAATACATATTGAAGATAGCCCATAGTAAAACGAGGCAATAAGATTAATAGGGGGGGGGGGAATCTTACCGAACCCTTTGGTGCCGAAGGTACAACTGGTATCAACTGCCTCGATTGCTTAATAGTCAATTCCTCGAGTCTTTGCATCTTTACAGATCCCTGAAAATCATAACAATATATCAGACAAACAGACAAATTAAGTTGCGATATAGATATACAAAATATGCAAGTCTTGCCACCCTTACCTGGGGCGGGGTACGAGTTCTGGCTGGAGCTTGCACCAGTGCTTCAGCCATGTTAAGACCAGTAGTTCCCGTTAAAGTACCCGAGGTAGCAACCGTTGCTCGAGGGGACAGTAATGCCCCAGTGCCACTCTTCTCAATGACATTGGGCACCTCAGCCAAAGCCGATGTCCAACCTTCCCCGCCAATCAAAGTGGAGCTACCAACAGGCAAGCTCTGAACAGCAGAACTAAGACCAGGAGATGAGACTCTTAAAACATCTTGCCCCCCATGCCTATCTTCAGTTCCAAGAGAAGGAAAATCCTTATCGAAACCAATTTTCTGAAAGCTATTGCCGATAGTAGGTCCAGGAAGCATACCATTTTCATTGTATAGGTTAGTGTGGCCACCATTTTTCAAGCCCACTGCAAATCCTCGAGACAGATGATCACCCTGTTTCCTAGTGATGGTTGAATGTGATCGTCTCAATTGCTCCTGATCCTTACCAGTTAAGACACTTCCAAAAGGGAAAGTATCACTTTCCCATGGATCCATGTAGCTTAATCTATCCTTCTCCCTGCTACGATCCTTATCTCGATGACTCCTACTGAAGTTAAAACTACTATATGCATGTTTTGAAGACCCACCAGAACCTCTCCGTGAATTAGTGGAAGATGACCGATCAAGAAAAGGGGATCGAATTGTATTGATATCACCTTTGCTACTAGAATTCCTATTCCTGCTACTATGCGGTGACGAAGCAGAATCTAAACAAGAAAACAAATATAAAATTACCATCAACCAAACAATACAGATTAAAACGAAAAAAGAAGCTAAATATGAAGACTCGAGCATACCTGAATGAGGGGAAGATGATAAGCTCCCACCAACAGAAGCACTCCCTGCGGTTCTCAACCATTCCGGAGCTAACGAGGGTTCACTTCTTGCCATTAGGACTGCACATCATCAGATAGAACAAAAAGGAACACTTCTCTGACCTTCCTTCATATCCCCAGGAAAAAAAACAAAGGTTTTCTTCCCGTACAAAACCCACAACTGGTATAACCTATCCTAGTTCTCTCATTCATCTAATCACCTACCGCCGTCTAGTCACTCAAACTCAATTGTAACTTACCCACGAATCGGAATGTATTGTGCGAAATCCGAATCTTATGAATAAAAGAGGTGATGGATACCCTCTTCACCTCCACATCTCACCCAGATGGATTGTTAGACAATCCAAACTCAAACTATAATAGCCTCAACCTAAGGAAGAATCGAGAGAAGGCACGACACAGGAATCCACCCACCTGTTATATAATGGGGAAGAAAGAAAGGGAATTGTTCTTGCAACCTACTTCGCAACTATAACCCAGTTCAACAATGAAATACCAATGCCGTACCCAAAATTACAGTGATGGCACCACGGCTCAACAATCGCCTCAACCAGAAACCCTAACACCTACGCATATATCTCCATGTATGATTACCACACTCGATATGGAATCAGCCCAGGCCCTAGGGTTCGAGACGGCGCAGAATTCGTTCAACACATCATTAGGAGAACACGAACGAGAAACATGAACGGGGAAAGATCAAGCGACCGCAGGGGAAGAGAGAGAACGCAGAATAACCCTAACCCAGATAGAGATTGTTCGTTCATACGCAGGACACAGGTGTTCCGCAAACGCAATCGCTCAATCCAAAAAATGGCTTCTTCCTCGCGTGAGAAAAATAGCAAAGAGGAAACGGGTTTTCGAGGAGCGATGTGGAGAACAGCGGAAGAACAAAGGATTGGAGAGGGAATTAGGGCTTCCAGGGGGCAGGTGCGAAGAGAAAATTAGGGTTTTTGCGATGGGTAGTGAAGACTGGTAGAAGAAAGGAGGCGAACAAGATTTCTTTTTGGTATTGTGTAATTGTGCGTTTCAGGAATACCTGAGAGGAATGAAACGTATGAAGAAACAACAGCCTCTCTGAAGAAAATCGATTTTATTATTATTATACGAATAATATATATTATTTATGTTAACGCATATATGAGCACCGGAAATATTTTTCGTTTTTGGGTATTTAATGGGCCTAACTACCCTATATGCGCTCGCGTATTAGACGTTTAATAATAAAATCTCACATAAATATTCAAATTAAATTTTTTTTAAATAAATATATGAATTTTTATAAATAAATTTTAGACGTTTAATAATGAAATGCATGACTCCAACTGTTTCATACCAAATCATACAAATTTTTTTAATAATTAAATATTATTGGTCGAAATTTAGATTGATATCAGAATTAGAAAAATTCGTATGAATATCTATTTTAAATTTGAGTGTTCGAATTGAGAGTGTAATAGATGCTAAACATCTACATCTTACCGGTTGAACTATTCAAATTTGATATTTAAGAGTTTTATAAAATATAATCTTTGTATCTTATAATAAATATAAAAAAAATTAGTTTCCTATAGCGAAAATCTTGGCATTTTTTCATAAACCTTATAAAATTGTTCTCTTTTATGTTGAATATTAAGCAGTTTTATTTTCAATTTTTTACACAACAATATTTTTATATTTCATAATAATTGTGTAAATGAGAATATTCTATTGTAGTAGTTTATTTATTTCAGTTTTAGTTTTTTTCTTTTCTTTTCGTGGGGAATGCCAATGGATGCCGGTGGCGTTTGCCATATAGTTGAACTCCTCAAACTTTGGAAAAGGGTTGCGCGAGCGAGAAATCTATTCTATAAGAAAAGAGAAGATGATTAAAAAAAAATGTAATATAGCTAAGGGGAAGGACAAAAGCAGCCGTTAATTTGAAGTGCATGGGCCTATTATAACGAAGGCCCATTTAAAGCCCAATAATAGATCCTGAGTCCAAAGATATTTGCATGGGGCCCACGCCCATTGAAATATCCAATCATGTATTTTCCTCCAAATAAAATAAAATAAATATTAAAAAAGGGTAACAGTCAATTGAGGTACCTGGGATAATTATTATTCCACACAGACCGTGTTTCGCTTATCTTTCAACGCCGTTACCTTTACCGTTCCCTCCGTTTCCCATTCTTCTCCTTCTTCACTTTTTCTTCCTCGATTTTCTCGGGAAACTGTCGGAAAATTTCCTAAATTGGATGAAGTGATCGCTATCTGCTTGATTACAAGCAGAAGATGCTCTCGGTTTGAGTTGGAACTGGGAGAGCTGCACATGGACGTAGCTTCCTATGCCTAATCTTCCCCGGATTTTCGGTCGTAGGAAGAGTTCGTCTGCTCCAATGGACCGCAGCCGGATGAAGGGCCTCGCGAGCCGGCGGCTCGAGCGCCCGGCCGCGTCGTCTTGTTCCTCCGCCGAGGACTCCGTGTCTCCATCGGCTTCTTCCCTCTTCACGCGTTCTCTGGATCTTCCTCCTACCAGCTTCAGAATCGGCGGCGGAGAGGGCGAGATGGATCGGATTTGCCAGACGCTTGGGATTGCAAGCCCCGATGATTTCGGCATCCCTGTCGAGGTGTGGGAAGCGAGCAGGAAGCGATCCTCCTCGGATGTTCTCCCGAGGTTAAGGTCTCTCGGGCTCGATAGTCTGAAAATTCAGGCGGAGGAGGTGGGCGAAGCTTATTCTCGTTGTATTGTTGCTGGTAGTTCTGCGGAACGGGACGATACTGAGTCCACGCGTCCGGAGTCGAGTGAGTTGAAAGAGTGGAACACGAGTCTTGTCGACCTAACTCGGATCGGCTTGGTCCAGTCCACAGGATTCTCTGCCACTGCCGAGGGTAGCGGGATCAAGGGCATAAGACCACCGTTACTGAAGCCCCCTCCGCCGATGAAACTACCGCCCCCGATCGATCCGCGGTGTTCTTCTTGGGATTTCTTACGGAGTTTTGCACCGGATAGTGGACCAGGACGTTCGTCCGAGGCGAATCAGCGGCCGGTCTCCTCGTCGTCTTCTGACGATGGCTATAGTGAAGAAAAAGTGGGTGGAGATGCAGAGAAGGAAGAGACAAAAGCAGACAGGCATGACAAAGGGAGTGCTCTTCAGTCGGGGGATACAGCTGACGAATCATGCTCCTTCACTACAAACGACTGTGACACTTCGAGCACGATGTCTCCTTCACCAAATTATCCACCCTTGTCTATCATCACGTCTTGGCAGAAGGGTCAGCGTCTGGGACAAGGGTCGTTTGGCACTGTCTATGAAGGAATTGCTGGGTAAGTCATCAAGTGTTGGTTCCTTAATTGGTGTCCGTTGAACTCTGATGCTTGGCTAAGATCAACTAAAGAACAATGACCCCCTTGGAATCATGAAATGTTAAATAACTTAACATCATAGATTCATAGCTAAAACTAGTGGTTAAGATGAACATCGGTAGATTGACAAAAAAGGCAAATTGCTTCTCTTTGCTAGAAAGGGGAAATCTTTAGACTATCTGCATTCTGCACAAATGGGACACTTTTGCTTTTACCACAAGTTAACTTTTCATGTCTTGGGAGATTACATTACTTTCTACTGATGCTTATAACTTCTGCAGAAATGGAGATTTCATTGCCATCAAGGAAGTCTCATTACTTGATCAAGGAAGTCAAGCTCAAGAATGCATACAACAACTTGAGTGGGTGAGAAAAATTGCAGCCCGGTTGTTGTATTTGCAGTTTTGATCTTCGTAAAGATGTAGCGTCTTTATTAATAAGCTCCTCTCACTTAGTTCACACTTCTCCGTTTTCTCCAGGAGATCACACTTCTGAGTCAGCTTAACCATCCAAACATTGTGCGGTATCGAGGTACATGCAGGGTACGGTCCCCTCCTTTATGTTTTTCTGAATAGTTTTTTCTATCTGCTTGTCTGTTGACTCTGACTATTTCCTACATACTGCTGTTTGCAGGATGGATCGAATCTGTACATTTTTCTTGAGCTTGTTAGCAAAGGGTCCCTTCTAAGCCTCTATAAGACGTATCAACTCGGAGACTCCCAGGTATCCGCTTACACGAGGCAAATTCTCCATGGTTTGAAGTTTCTCCATGATCAAGGCTTTATCCACCGGTGAGAAAAGCAGATAAACTTCTCTTTCTCACAGTCGTTACTGCATTTCGCCAAATCATCCTTTTCTTAAGCTAATTCTTGTCCCATGCAATGAAGGGACATAAAATGTGCAAATATACTAGTTCATGCAAATGGATTGGTGAAACTTGCAGATTTTGGATTGGCAAAGGTCCTTTTCTATTTCCCATCTCAAATGTTTTTCGTTGAGCGACAACTTGTATGCTAATGTTAGTGTTCATTTTGTTACTTAGGTGACGAAATTGAATGATATTAAGTCCTGCAAGGGAACTCCATTCTGGATGGCTCCAGAGGTATGACTTCAACTGTACTGTAACCATTGCTATGGATAATCGTACTTGTTCTTCCCATTTTCAAATGAGCTCATTTGATGATAATGTACACTTCAAGAGAAAGTACAAGTTATCTCTTTGGTTGAGGATATTTTTTTATTCCTGTTTTATTCATAAGTTGACCATGCTTCACCACAAATGTTGCAATCAAGTATTGTGAATTTGTGGCATTCACTTTGAAAGAATGTTTGTTTGGTATGTTCCTCTCTTGTAAAGTAACTTAACCCTGGGTTGTTATTATAAGCATCTTTTCAGCAGTGTTCCTGAGAAATTCACCAGTGTAAAGAACCCCTTGTCAGTGATAATAAATAATTTGAGGTTCCAATTCTATAAGGACTGTGTTTGTGTTGGCGATTCCTGATTAGAACTTATAATTTCAGGTGATAAACAGGAAGACAAACGATGGGTATGGGCGTTCTGCTGACATATGGAGTCTAGGCTGCAGCGTGTTGGAGATGCTTACGGGTCAAATCCCGTACTCTGGTCTGGAACCTGTGAGTTTTACTAGTTGTCTTATGGTTCCACTTTTTTTCCATGGTGTTGACTGGTAAACATGTTGAGGCGGGTTTGCATTTGCAATTGATGCACATACTTAGAGAAGGACCCATTGGATTGTGTTTGTGGTTTAGTGTTGCTTTCACTCTTTCACTTGCTCGGAGCATACAAAACATGAAAAGACTCTCCTTTTCTGCTCTTTACAAAATCACAGGCTCAAGCTCTGTTTAGGATCGGAAGGGGCGAGCTTCCACCTGTGCCCAACACTCT